TGCTAGTCCTACTTCTAGTGGGTGAGATTTTATTTTATCTAACATTGGTGTAAATCCGACTGATGTAGCTACTCCAGCAGGTAGTTACTCTGGCTTATGCTCTTCTGATCCAGAAAAGAATTCAGATTTGTGTTTCAGGATGTTTTAAGGCTCTGACTGTGATAGTACTTACCCTGGTTCTGTACTGATGCAGTATGGGAATAAAAACGTGATTCTTCTCTGATTCACTGCAGTTCCAAACTGTTCTGCAGAAAGTCATGCAGATATAATGAATGTTGGAGTAAAATGGCATAGATAGGTTGTTATTCTCTAGGTTGCTCTGAAACTCGTAAGTTCTTCCTTATAAATCAGCAACTATGAATACCCTGTCTTACTTAGACTAATATGTCTCTCTCTATCTTTCTCTCACAATTTCCTTAAATTATTCTCCAAAATATTAAAAGCTAAGTCTTTGTTCAGCCTAGTTTGGATTTCTTCATGAATACAATGCTGTGGGACTCTCTTACAGAATCTTCATTTGTAGCTTGCAAGGATACATTTGGGTTGTTGGTTTTTGTTTGTTAGTTGTTGTTTTTTTTTGTCTGGAAACAGTGTGTTTGGACTACAAAATCATTCATCACACTTTCATTCTGTGTGTACAGCTTTTTTTAAAAAATATTTTTTTGGTGGAAAGGTGCATGCAACAATTAAGCATTTTACAGATAAATACACCCATGCAGTATATGCCAAAACACAGTTATATATCTAGAGCTTTGGCTCTAGAGGCCACAAAGAGTGCCACTCCAAGCTGTCTTTAAAAATTGCAGTAAAAGGTTTATGATCTGTATCTACTAGGATGGGTGACTCATAAAAATGTACTCCAAAGGTGTAGTGCCATGTCCAGCACTGATTGCTCCGACAAATGAGTACTCCTCTTCGCTAGAGTAATTTGTAATCATATAACAGCTTGACTTCCTGTCTGGAAAAGCATCGTTTTGTCAGACTGGCTTATGTCACTACATCTCTCACAGCATTTTCAGAGACTATGGCAGCTGTTGGTTTCATACTTACTCCCACATTTTTCTATACTTTAAACAAATGTTTTTACTTCTTTTTACTCTGAATGTTCTAGATGCTGTTGAGATTTTCTTCCCTTAAAAAAAACCCCAACAAAACATCCAAAATGTGTATTATGAACACATGTATTATTTATTTTTGTTATTGTAAACAGATTTAACAGCCTTCCTGTTTTTTTTTCTTATTTGCTTTAAGTGCTTCACTTTCTGCTATTTTGTCTCAGAGGTTACACTAGTTTTGCTGGGTCCCTCCAAAGCTGTTGGCTTTCTTTTAATTGTAAGAATTCCTGTGTGATTTTCTTGGCTTACTGAGAAGTTGTGACCAAATACTTCTGTCTGAAGTATGTGTGGTCTATGGAGTGCCTTCAGTATGGGGTTGTATCTTGCAGAGAAACAGAAATTTCAGGAGCTGGTGCGTCACAGACTTGGCTTTTCTAAGGGAAAAGATTAAATAGATTGGAAACTCTTCAGCTTGAAGAAGAGGTGACTCAGGAAAAAGAGTAAAAAACTGGATGTAAGGGAGAAAATGCAGAGAGCGATTATGGCAGCGGCATGAAATTATGAGGTAGGGCAGTAAGAAAAACCCTAGCAATCACCCAAAGGAAATTTTATACAGTACAGAACTCTGGAACTCATTGCCACAGCATGTTGATATCAAAAACGTAAATGAATTTTAAAAGCAATTAAATACAACAATGAAAGAAATATTCACAGGGAAAAAAATATTAATAGCTTGATTTTTTTAAGTCAGCAGAGAATGCACCCGAATCTGTGAGAAAGGATTCTAGCATACACTTAAATTGCAGGGGAAAATGCATTTTTGAACAGGTTTTGTGTGACTGAGGCTGGAGACAGGAAAAAGTGGTGCGATTTGTGCAGTAGAATTTGTAAGAATAAGAACTGCTGTCAAACTGTACTGCTTGTGGAGCAAGCAAGTGGAGGGAAGCTTTGCTGGTGGCATCGAGCTCGCACACACACGCAGCCTTGCAGTGCTTTAAGCTCTCCAGGCAATCAAGGGAAATTAATTCAGACCATTTACTCTGAAATTCAGTTTGCTACCTCGGTGTTCGCAGTTTGAGCATCTTAGATAAACACTTACAACTTCTGCAGAATGCTGAAACTGCTTGTTCTTACTCAAGTGACGCATCTCCAGCCCTTTAGCTCTCACCTTAGCGCTCACACTTTTTCGGATCCTGCTTGATTTAACACCTCTTTCCTGAGAGGGACTGTGCAGTCTCACGCTACCTTACCTTTATGGCTCGGTGCTTTGTTTTCTGGGCTATTTCTGGACAATAAGTGAACCTAGAGATGTAAGGGCAATGCTTAGCCATTGGGGCAAAATTTTTAGTTCACAAGCCTGTAGCTATTGGTTGTATTTTCCAAATGCTGGGATTCAGAGTTTCCTCGTGAGTAGGCTGTTGTAACAAATGACTCTGATTTGGATAATGAGTTTTTAACTGAAATAGTGTTTCCTCTGGCAATAGCAGTAAAGAAAACCCTGGCTGATATCCTGACTTCTTTAAATTAGTGGAGCAATTGCCACATAGATGGAAACCCTGTGCTGTTAAGCCTGCCTAGTGTTTGAAAGACAGCTGTAAGACTTCACTCTTGTATAGTTTAAAAAAGTATCTTATCTCTTTTAGTCTCTAGTATAGTTTTTACCTATAGTACTATTAAGAATGTTGAAGTAATATCAGATTTAAGCATACAGTGAAGTGACAATCCAGTTTATGTAATCCTGTTTGGTTTTACATGTTTGAGTTCTGGATATTTTAATTTGTTTGCAGGGTGCCCCAGGTAACCATTGTATCACAGTGTGTGATTTTGCTTGTGACTGATAAGTTTAGCACAAACTTCAGTTACATTCTTCTTAATCAAGCGGTCTTTCTGTTTTGATATCAAGGCTTGTTTTAAGTTAGGTAAGGCAATAGACAACGCAAACCAAATAATCTAAACATATTCATTGTATTCTTTGCTAGTATTAATATGTTAAGTGAGAAGCTGAATAAAAAATAAGATAATTAATTATTTAGGAAAAAAACCCATGTTTTCAAATGTCTACTAATTAAATTAAGGTCCTCTAGTTACGTGAAAGGTGACTTAAGTGAAAGCTTTCTGTGTGCTAAGTAAGCCAAACAACTTGAACACAGGAAGAATCTGGCTATGAATAACAATGTTTACCCTGCCCTTTGCAGGACCTTTCATTTGTGATAAACAGGTATAATTGATACTGAGGATAGGATAAGTTTAGTGACAGCTCTGAAAAATCATTATTTAAGTGAGCAGAAAGCAGACATTTCTCAGCAACTACCTGCAAAGTGTGTGTTCCTATTGTCGGGCCAGGCTAGCAACAAACAGGTGGTGTACACAGGCATGTTTAGGTGTAGATGATCGAGAAAAGAAATGGAGATCAAAGAAAGGCCAGACTCTGTTGGTGGGGACAAAGGTCCAGTAAGCTCAGTGAAGTTATTCCACAATACACCAGCTGAGTATTGTCCTAGTTTGAACAGTATCTTTTCCTTTGGACTATTTTAATTCTCTGTTGCCAAGAACTTATGCCATTTCTGTCCTATTTGCAAAATGTTTCTCATCTGTATTTCTTTTTTTTTTCTTTTCTTTTCTTTTTTTTTTTTACAAATCCCCCTGAGGTTTTTGTGAATTACATCACTGCTTTAAGCATTGCTTGACCTCAGAGGCTCTTTTGCAGTCAAGGAGAGCTGCAGACAGCATTGTACAGCCTGTGCTGTACAAACTTACATTGAATACTGTAATTCAGTCAACCTCTGCAGATTGAGCTTGCGGTGTTTATTTTAGGGAATGTGGAAAACTGCTACTAACTGAAAAATTAAGGTCTTCCACTTATGTCATATCGTGACCCAGTCACTGAGGAAAATTATCTAGATGTTTTACAGATTCCATCATAAAATTTTCTGTTTTGATTACAAGTTACTTTCTTGTTGCTAGCTGATACCATTTTTCAAAAGGGGCAGATTTTCATAAAATGCAGGTTCATGTTGTGCTTTTGCAAATTGTGGGTTTATTCTGAAAAGATCAGACATTATTACTACTGTGTAGCTGCTGTCAGTTTTACCAGCATTACCTTCTCCACCTGAACTGGATGGGTTTTTCATTGCTGAGGAAAATCTACATTTTATTTTAAATGGAAAATCTATACTGATTTTTTTTTTAAATATATGGTCTGGTATAATGATTGCAATTGAACTGTACCTACACGGGACCTACTGTTATAGCTTCAATGAAGACATACTTTCTGACATTTTTAATTGACTCTTATTTACACAGCTATATTTGACTGAAAGGATTTATGACATAAATATCTCAGAATATAAACGCCCAGAATTATTGAAATACATGTGTCAAGCCAGAATTTCAAGGGATGCAAGTATTGCAGCCATGTAACTTACTTTCTGTAATATAATAACACTATAATTAATTACTCCATAATTGCCTGTTCCTATCATCTAACTGTGCTCACTATGCTAATACCACTGCATAAATGTAATTGAAATGTCAAACTTTATATGAATTTGTGATATAGGATGTAACAGAACTCATTAAATGAATGATCCATCCAATTAAAATAGTTAATCAGAAAGAAATATGTATCAATTAAAAGGGGTACATAAATCTCCCTCAGTGTGTATGCGTGACCACAAACAAGAAAAGAAAGACTGGACATGTTTTAAAGGTAATCTCTTCACCTAGAGTCGCATCTGTTCATGTTATTTTGTGATGTACATGCCTCAAAGACAAGCATTGTGTTAAACATGATTGATGATTTACTCTGACAAACAGAAGATTTGTGGTTAAAATTCACAGAAGTCACCCAAAGAGTGTTGTTCTTACATGTCACATCTCTGAAAGCATCCAGTTTGGAGAAACACTTTACATGTAAAATCAATGTGCTCTTCTATGTAATTTCAGAATTTCTGTGTTGAGACCACCAAGAAATTGTGCTCAATTCAACCTGCCAATGTTTCAGAATTACAAGTTAGTTGTCAAAATGATGTGGTGCATCGTGAGAATAAGAAGGACATGACTGGGAAAGCTACATTAGTGGAAACCAATGTGATTGAAGGTCAGTTAAGCTTTATGGTTTGAGTTATTAATATAACAAAGCTTAAGCCCAGCCCTGATAAATAATTTACATACAGGATTATCTTGCATGATTTCATTTGGAATCTCTGGCTTAGTCAAAAGAGATGAAAAGTGAACATTTCTGTTCTTATCCACAAATGCTGTAAGGCAAATTCATCCAAGCTCTCAACAACAGCCTGATATTAAACTCTCTTTGACACTGCAGCATGAATATTCAGTAGTTTTTAGGAACAGATATGTGGAAAAGATACATTTGTTTTGCTTTAGGATGGTGCTTACACATGATCTGTGATTCAAAACAACTGATTCAAACAGGTGTTAAAGTTGAGCAAGCAGTTTACACTACATATATGAAGATGTCTTCAACGCACATCTTTAGATTTTGAAGAAAAAAGTAATTTTGAATTAATTACTTGACTGATATTTTTTAAGTCACCATTTGCTAGGATTTCCCAAACATTTTTGATAGGTGATTAGTTTTTGTACCTATCTTTCAAGTTTCTCCTTTTTCAGAAAAAAAACATACTGAAGTTAAACTAGATGATAAGAGGACAAATCCAAAAGACTTTGAAGTTAATATAAAAGGTTAAATTAATTTAATCTCTCATTCACCAGTTATATCTGAAATAAAAATACATCACATTAACTACAACAATGGGATATTTGGAAGACTAAGGCACAAATTTTTGTCCTCAGAGCATTTATTAACTGATAATTTGTATTAATACAAAAATTTTCCATAAAGTTTCTCTTTATTGTCTTGTCATTCAGTATATGAGGCTCTTAAAAAGGACTGCCTGTTTGCAACTATGCATATTGAAACTTCCAAATGCAGTGTAATCAACTTTTATAGTGAAAAATTGCTCTGGTGTGTGTAGAAGTCACAAATCCTCATTGCTGTGGAAGCTGATTTTTGTTATTTGGGGACTGGTTTTTGAAAGGTATTTTGGCATCTGGCTATTTGAATAAGAATCCAAAATTTGCTATTTTGTGGCTTTGAAAAAATCTCTCTGCAGGCTACATTTTGCTACTGCTTAATTATTTGATTAGATTTTATAGGAATAAATGGTGAAGATTCCATATTGGCAACTGCAAAGGACAGTATCCTCTGTTTAAACCCCAGAAAAAAACAGAATACCAAGATGGGTTAATGTTGTTCTCTTTTGTGCCAAGGGAACTGCCTGCATATCACTGGGGCTTAACTTGGAAAACCACTGCCCATGCTACAGGAATCAGTTGGGCCTATTACATGGGTTACTCTCTGTGGGGTGAGTCAGCCATGGGAAACAGGATGGGATCCACCTGAAGAAAACACGACCAAAACATCCTTACTGAAGTAAACCAGGCTTGAAGTTTCAGAATTACAGAATCACAGAATGGCCAGGGTAGGAAGAGACCTGTGGAGACCATCTAGTCCAACTCCTGCTACAGCAGAATCCTCTAGAGCAGATTACACAGAAACACATCCGGGTGGGTTTTGAACGTCTGCAAGGGTGGAGACTCCACAACCTCCCTAGGTAGCTTGTCCCAGTACTCTGCCACCCTCAGAGTAAAGAAGTATTTTCTCATATTCAGGTTAAATCTCCTGTGTACCAGTTGTGACAATTACTCCTTGTTCTGTCACTGGATATCACTGAGAATAGTCAATCAATCATATGTTTCCTGCCTCATTCCTCATGAAAGTTGCGATTAGTTAATTTGAAGTTTATCCTATATATTGTGTTAGCTTAGACTACTCACAGAAGATCAGGTAAAGAATGGCCTTTGTTGCTGAGGGTTTCAAACAAACTCTTAGTACCTCTGTTTAGTAAGCACATAGAAAATCAAGAGGTAGTGTCATAATGTCTCTTACTTTGCAAGGCTAGGAAACTGCTTCTTGTTTGATTGCCTTGGAGTATATCCCTGTGCAAACTTTGTCTAAATTTGAAAATAATGTGAGTTAAAAGGCAGATTCTACCTAGACCAAAGAGCAGTGATGGATTGTATGCTGACATACCCAAATCAAAGCTGAAGGTTTTTATGAAAGATGTGTGTGAGTATAGCCGAGAATTATTTCGGTTAATTCAAAGATAACTGCAGAATTATACAGGAGATTGGATTAAATAGTATAGCAGTTCTTCCTGGCCAGCCAAGGGATCCCCAGGAGTCCACTGTTGCGTGCAGCAAGCTTGCCTGTTCCAGAGAGTATACTCTGCTCTACTAATTCACAAGATAATGGATTAGAAAATATGTCAAGACCAATAACACAGACACACTCCTGTGGGTTTTGAGTGGGAGGAAATGCACCATTCACTGACTAATCTTTAAACTTCTTCTGGTGAATGTTAAGCCCCCCTTCAAAGCACCAGCCTATTTCGAATTCCTAATAAGGATGTGGAATTTGTGCTCTTAAAAAAACAGTTACAAAGACAACGACTGTTTCTTGCCAAATGCCAGATAGTTCTGAAAAGCAACATGTTTTTCTTTCCGTTTTATAGTCCCTATTGTCTTTCCTTACAGAGTTCATGTTAATAAAGATAGGACTTATTATCTTTGTTTCTAAGAAATTAAATCTTTTTCTTCTGTTGCAATTAAACCTGAATTGGCCACTTCAGATACTATTGTATTTTCTTATATTTGACTGAGTTTCAATGACTTAGAAATAATAGAAACATCTGCAGGATAATAACTCTCATCAGAAAGCTGCTGTATCAGTTTTTCTTTAACCTCGCAATATATTCTAAGTGGAGTTTCTAAAACATTACCTAATCTTCTTGCTCAGATCTTAAGTTTCTGGAATTGTTATAGTCTGAAATTAAAAAAAAAAAAAAGTGTTTTTGTTGATTTTATTTATTGATGTCAGGACATTTTAGGGAAGATAATTATAGATTCTGAATTTAGGCATTTGATTTAGGAGGCTAGTGGGCTGAAGCAAGAGATACATGAATAGACCTTCTGATTGCAACTTAGGATGCATGTGTAACATATAGTAAATTTGGCAATAAAGATAGTGTAAGAAATTCTGCCCCTATGCTGTAACTTAGGGCAATACGTTTGGTTATGGTGCTGTGCTCTAAACCAAACATTAAAACTAATTAAACATAATATTCCTCCATAATATTTTTTTTAAAAAGCTGCTCTTCTTCTGTGATGACACAGAGATTTTGTATTAGTGTTCTGAATCAGGCACATAGGGATAAGCAATATGAATTAGGAATTCTTTACTGTATGTATACAAGACAGCTCTCTCCAGCCTCTACACATTAGCTCAGTCTTTGATTAGGGCAAAACTGTTGTTTAGATCTTTTAGCTGCTATTGTCCTGTAAGTATGTTTAAAAAAAATAAATGGACTTCTTTACCTGGTTTTTGCCCTGTGAACAAAGTATATTATTGGCTAACACATCTTCCAAGTTAACTTTTAAATAAAGGTAAGAAAATTACTTAAAAGCTGGAGATCACATAATTTCATAGGATGGCAAGTAAATTGTATTTAAACATTTTCAATCAACATTCTTCTTACCTAAACTCTTAACTTGTTGCACAGTTAGGGAAATAAAGTATAGGCTCTGAATCTTTATCTATTTCCCTCGTTTATTAGATATGACTGGTTTTAATTGCAGTAATATGCAGAGATTCCAGGCAGCAGCTTGTAGAAGTGGTTGCAAGGAGGAGTTATGGCTCTCCTCCACCAGCCCTGTGCAGAGCAGGAGCTGGGACCCTGAGGTGTGCAGGATGATGCCCTGTGCCCTTCTCCTCACCCTCTTGCAGGAAGGTATGATGGGGCCTACAATTTGTGATTGTTTAAAACTTGTGGTAACCTTTTCTCATTTGCAAGAGTTGTTGACATACTGAAGATTAATTTTACAAAAAGAAGCAATAGGGCAACAGTGGAAATGAGTGTTGGTAGGAATTCAATAAAACCAGCAAGACAGCCTAGAAAAGAAGTGACAAAACCAAAAATTTTTTTTAAAAAAAGGACAGTGAAAGTGGTCAACAGATATTGTTTTCAGGAAATTTAAGATTTTTTAAGAAATTAAATTAAATTTAAGATTACACTTTTCCAAGCAACACGTTAGCAGATTCCAGAGGGAGATGAACATTACACATAAATGAAGTGTAACCCTACAGTGCCTAAGAAATATTTTGGTTGTGGTACTTAATAGTTTTTAAAGATATGCTACATCATCATGTGAAAGAG